CCCATCAAACACGAGAACAAAAGAAATGTTTTAAGTTGTTTGATCGAATGTTTGATAGCCTTCAAATTTTTTCAAACACGACCAAACACGATCAAACACGATCAAACATCACCAAACAAGGTGGCTAAACGGCAAAATGTTTGGTCACCAAACAATGTTTGACGGTGTTTGGTCGCCAAACATTTCCCGTTTGGACAGGCCTTAATACATCAGTTAATTCCAGAGGTGTTCTTTCCAACCCTTCCAGGCAGCAAAAAGCTGGGTTTTGCTCGCGTCTTCATTCTGGAGGCGGGCCATTTCAAATTTTATTATCAGCCCAGAACGGGCATTTGAATACCCCAGGGAACAGCCCCAGAACATTTGGCACCTTTGTGGTTTTGGTCTCGCATGTACATGATGTTCTCCAAGAAAGTATGATCATCCTCACCTGTGTTCTCTAATTTATTTATCTTCTGTTCATCACATATAGATCATATAAAATTTGCTCTATATTGTCTATATGATGTATGGAGTCTAAGGCTATCTGAGATGATGTTTCATTACCAGCTTACGTTTGTATTGCGTTTAATATTCTGATAATGCAATAGAGACATATGGTAAGCTACATTTATTTAAATTCGTTAGGGACTGATTAGAACACAGAGTAGCTTCTTAAACCGTTCAATATTTCTCCCCTTTTCTATACGTTTCTATTGATATACATTTGATAATCAGGTCTCCCATTCATCCGCCAGAGCAGCTGGAAGCATCATCAGTCACTGCGTGATACCCTTCAGAATTCTCAATTAGTCCGCGAGTCTACTAGCTTACATGAACAGTTTAACTTCACTATTTAACTAATCTGAACCTGTTCTCAGTTCGAATTTGAATTCCTGCCTTATTGCAGGTACTCTGCCTGTCAATTCACCACCACTGAGTGAGTACTCTCACGGCTCCATTCGACGATATATCGTCATCAATGTGCTATGGAGGCAAGACCAAGAAACATCACTTTGAAACTCTCATCAGCATGACTGCCACTTGTTTCGATCGTAGCTCTTGCGTCGTCCCAACGATTTTTATTACCTGACGACCATACATGAGGGCTGAAAACGAGTCTATACATGAGCCAATGAATTATATCATCGTTACTTAATCTCAAGTAGACGCATTCCAATCGTTCAAGATCGACCAAGTGCACAATAACCATTGCAATAAGAATACAAGAAAACATAACAGTTTCGCCATTTAGTCGACAAGAGAGAAAATCAGCAGATTACTGATAAAAAAATTCCTGTGTTGTTTTAAGCCAACCATTCCTTAGTCTTTGTATTAGCAATCGACAAAACGAAGGAGCGCAACAGAACTCTAATATTTACCTTGTCGTCCAGCATCTTCTATGTCCCGCCAACTCCCCAAGATGTGTTTAACAAGGTTAAAAGCAGACCCATTTGTACCAGCTTACTCCATCTTGCTACATTTCTAAAATCCATCTCGATGTTCATCCACGAGAAACAATTTCGCGAGATAAATCGGCAAAACCTGCACAAATGAACTTCACAAGGAAGAAAAACATATATGCGTAATGTAGTGACACATTCCAGATGCATGCCGGACTGTCGTTACCAGCTTAGCTTTAGCTGCCTCAGAGTCATTCACACTGCTATCAACTACAGAAACACATTTCGTAAGACACTCGAAACTAGTACAGTAACAAAATGATTCAGCCACTCAATCTCTGCTCCTGTGAGTGAAGCATAAGGCTGCAAAAGTCAAAAACACATTTATAGCACTAAACATGTGGCCAGAACAGCTACGCGCCAGCATTACATGCCTCGTTTTGAAACATAGGCACCAGGGCAACTCGTAAACGGCGTATGTTGCCGACCGGGCTAAATATGGAAGCCCCGTCCGGGATCTCTTTAGACCCAGCTGTTACCCACTCACTTAGGAACATGTTGATATCAGTAGTTTCTAAAGAGAGGTTCGACGCTTGAGTCAACTTGTTAAGGTCGTCTCCTCTCTGAGATTGCACAATTTAATTGACTTACGGGCTAAACGTCTCATTTTATTTGATGTATTGACTCATGAACAGGCCTGAAAAGTACTTTTACCTAAGGCAAAGAAACATTTTACATACGCCCATAACAGAGAACGGTGTTAGCTTTCAATAGCAATTCCAAAGACGCCATTAAGCGTGGAGTAAAAGTTATCGAAGTGGCCACTTTATCAAACAACTCTTCCCGCTTTAATTTATTCATATCACATCGAGCAAATCCGCATCGGTGAGAAACAATTGTTGTGATTCATTAATTCGCATCAGCAGCGCCCAAAATAATCCACTGAATAAAATTTCATGGGTCATGCTTGTCCAGCTTCAGTTACTTATGACTCATCAATCACGCCACGAGACTTCTAGACTCCGCATTCTATTGTTAATTATATTACGGAAATCAATCAAGCATTTCGTGGTAATATTACATCAGGGAAATGTAAATGGGAGAGACAAAGCAAATGACAATCATTGAATCAATCAGTCCAAAATATGCTACCACGCTGAAACGAAGACAGAGGTTACAGTGACAAAGATGTTTTGAAACCTTCAAAACGTCAATTTTCTCGAATCTCGAAATACAGTAAGAGCCAAGGTGGAGTCTTACGAATACAGGCTCGTTATCATGCATGACATTTGCTAGAATAGCAACAAGCCAGGGTAAAATGGGTCAATGTACCAAACAGTTGAATGATAACTCCGATAATGATAATGCTACGAAGCTGAACCAAAGACGGAAGTTACAGTGACAAAGATGTTTTGAAACCTTCAAAACGTCAATTCTACCTCGCATTTGCATACATTCTGAGATCACATGAGATAGCAAGTCACGTGACTTCGAGCTCACTGCGAGTTTTGACTTTGAGCAAGGTCGTTTGTAGCACTTTTGTGCTCCCAAAGTCGCTCCCGAATATTTACGTAGCTCCTGTGCTTTATCAAACCGAAGATGTCCTCGACGTCCAAACAGACCGAGGACGATCTTCTTGCCGAGGAAGTCGGAGACGAGGCTGAAGAAGACAAGGAATCGCTTACTGACGAACGCAACGCTGTCCTTCCACACTCCTCACAACAACTCAAGAATCAAACCGCCGCTTCTTCGGAGGAAATTAGCCTACTCACCAACGCAATCCTAGGCTTAACAAAAAGCCTACCAGATCTTCCAACTCCACCTCATGGAGAGACAAAAGGCAAAGGGAAACGGCCGGCGAGCAAGTCTCCAAACACCGTTCCCGCCAAAAAGGCAAAAGACAAAGATGGCGAGGCGGGAAGCTCCATGAGCGCCTCCGACCAGTCAACTGACTGCGAGATTCTCTACGACTCTGTGCTAAATAGCAAAAATGATGAGTCAGAGCAAAATACCACTCGTAGTGGTGATGAGGACGATTTCCTCTCGGAACTCGTAAAAGAATACGAGTCTGACGATACCGTGGGCGAAAGCCTCGAAAATGAGAAACTAGCCAAGCTAGTTGACAAAATGTTCCGCTGCAAATTAAGCGAGAAAAATCTCAAAGACCGGCTTGAGACGCAGGAGAGACCGGCTAATTGTACTACAGCTAAGCCTCCCAGGGTAAACCCGGGCATTTGGCGTCGATTGAGAGAGCCTACAAAGAAGAGGGATTTACAATTTTACAAAATACAACAAGCCCTCACAAAAGGCATCCTGCCAGTTGTCCGAATAACAGACAAGCTTATGCAGGCGAAATCACTTAATGCTGAAGAATTTCAAGACTTAAAGAAACTGGGGCTGGAGGCCATGTCCCTCCTCACTCATGCCTCTTATGAAATAAACATGCAGCGGCGTCTACTTCTGAGACCAGATATTGGGAAGGAATACTCAGCTCTCTGCTCCTCCCAATTGCCATTTACAGATTTTCTCTTTGGAGATGATCTACAAAAGCATTTGAAAGATATTGGCGATCAAAACAAAATAGGGGCCAAGATCACCCCTAATTACAAAGGGCAACGCTCTTCTCCAGGAAGGCCTGGCAATAACAGCTATAAGCAGTCAAAAAACTGGAGAGGCCACAACTCCAAACCTTGGAAATACAAAAACAATGCCAACCGGGACAAGACAACCCGGACAAGCCAATAGAACACTTACTGCCAGCTACTAGCACAGTAAGTATACGTTCACCACTTTGTAACAATGTATATATAGCTGGAAACATAGCTAGGCATTTCAGTGTCTGGCAGACTTTAACCTCTGATCCCTACACTTTAAGCATCGTTCAGGGTTGTCAACTAGAGTTTTGCAACCCACCTTGCCAGTTGCAAACCCCTAGAGCAGTCAAACTTTCTAGTAAAGAGACAGATATTGCCACTACTGAAATTAAGAAGCTTTTAACTAAAGGGGTCATTAGGAAAGCCACTCATGTTCCTGGTGAATTTATCTCAACAATTTTCACCAGACCCAAGAAAGATGGGTCTCACCGTCTTATTTTGAACTTGAAAAAGCTTAATAAGCATATTGTGTACCACCACTTTAAGATGGATTCACTGCATAGTGCTACTCAGCTGATGAAGCCTAATTGCTGGATGGCTGTCTTAGACCTAAAGGACGCATACTACTCTGTTCCTGTTAGGACTGAAGACAGAAAATACCTTCGTTTCGAGCATGAAGGCCAACTTTATGAATTTGTTTGCCTTCCTAATGGCCTCTCCAGTGCACCCAGAATTTTTACCAAACTGTTAAAACCTGCCCTTGCCAGATTAAGGGAGGACGGGGTGCTTTTAGTCATTTACATTGATGACATTATCCTTTTGCCAATGACCCTCAGACATTGCTCGGTTTTATACAAAGGGCTATTACATTGTTGCAGTCTTTAGGATTCACTATCCATTCTGATAAATCCCAACTTGTCCCATCCCAGAGAGTCAATTTTCTGGGTTTCATTTTAGACTCTGTTGCGATGACAGTCTCTATGAAACTGGACAAGGCTGATAAAGCAAAATCAGCCATCCTACAGCTCCTTAGGAAGGAGCGGCCATTTATAGGAGAGGTTGCATCCGTAGTCGGGCAAATGGTGTCATGTTTTCCTGGATTTAAATATGCCCCACTGTATTACCGTGCTCTCGAAAATGACAAAACTGATGCTTTAAAGATGAATGGGTGGAACTTAGATGAGAGAATGCTCATCTCTGATATAGCTAAGAAAGACATGTCTTGGTGGCTTTCAAATATTGACAATGATCCATGTCCTGTTCTGCCTATGAAGCACAAATTAACCCTTAAATGCGATAGCTCCCTGGAAGGTTGGGGAAGTGTCATTGAAAATTCTCCCCTTGTTGCAAATGGACGATGGTCCTACAGTGAGAGTATGTGCCACATAAACTACTTGGAAATCAAAGCAGTCCTTTTAGGCCTTCAGACTTTGTGCACAGACTTAACCAACTGTAACATCAAAGTGTTGTCTGATAACCAAACAGCGGTTTCCTATCTGAGAAATATGGGTGGCACCCACTCTCGGGACTGCAATGAGATTGCAAGGGAAACTCTTCTGTGGTGCAAGGACAGGGGCATATCCTTAACTGTCACCCATTTACCTGGGAAACAAAATGTTGAAGCTGACCTAGCAAGTAGACAATTTCATGATGACACTGAATGGTCATTAGACACTCATGTTTATACCAGCTTAATTACTAAATGGGGAAAACCTGAGATTGACCTTTTTGCATCACGGTTGAATGCAAAATTGCCCTGCTATGCAGCATGGAAACCTGACCCAAGTGCCTATTCTATTGATGCTTTTACACTTGACTGGTCGGTGTATGAACTTGTTTACTGTTTTCCACCCTTTAGTGTAATCGGGAAAGTACTTCAGAAGATAATACTCGACAAGACAACAGCAATCCTAGTGCTCCCCGACTGGCCAACACAGTTTTGGTACCCACGAGTGATGTCAATGCTAGTGGCTCCTCCACACCGAATAAAGCTGCAGAAGTCAACACTGACCCTTCCCTACGATGTGAAGAAAATCCACCCCCTTTACCCCAAGCTCCTACTGATTGGCTGTCTTGTGTCAGGGAATCCCTCCAGTTACAAGGAATAACTGGGGAAACTTTGAGCATCATCATTGATTCAAGGAGAGAAGGTACTCGGAAGCAATACAGAACTAGCATATCTGCTTTGATAAATTACTGTGAAGAACGGAAGATCAGTATTACAACACCTTCACTGCCAGAATTGTTGAACTTTCTAACTCTTCAGTCCAAAAAGCTTAGCTACAGTGCTCTAGGAACCACTAGAAGTGCCCTTTCTTCATTCATCAACATTGATGGCTTCAAAGTAGGAGAACACCCTATCGTTTCACGTTTTATGTCAGGTGCCTTCAACAGGAAACCAACTTTCCCCAGATATGTGGAAACATGGAACCCTCAAATTGTCCTTAACCACCTTAAGGGCTACCCTGACATCAAGGAAATGTCTCTGAAGCAATTGACATGGAAACTGACCATGATTTTGGCCTTAGTCACAGCACAACGAACACAGACTCTTAAGTTGCTGTCAATTGATGACATGCAAACTAAAGCTGGCGAATATGTTTTTCCAATTACATCCATTCTGAAGCAAACAAGTGCTAATGGTGACAGGCAAAGATATCTGCAACCTATTGTGTTGAAGAAATATGACTATGATAAAACCCTTTGCGTTTTTACATTGTTACAAGAGTATCTTATGAGAACTGCTAAGCTAAGAGGTTCATGTTCTCAACTTTTAATTTGCCACTGCAAGCCTCATGGGCCTGCATCGAAAGACACTATTTCTAGGTGGCTCAAACAGGTTATGCTTGATGCCGGAATTAACACTTCTGTTTTTAAGCCTCACTCCACCAGAAGTGCAGCCACCTCTGCGGCAAAGTCAGCTAATGTTCCTTTAGATGAAATTAAGGCCACTGCTGGCTGGCGTTCAAGCTCTGTGTTTGCTGTTTATTATAACAAACCACTGTTTAATGATAGTTCTTTTGCTAACAATGTACTGGGTAAGAATTAGTGCATTGGTAATAAATGCCATGTTTACCTTCTCTTATTTAGAATGTGTACTCTTCATTTTTTGAGGGCCCTATAGAGCTCTAAAATCTCATGTGATCTCAGAATGTATGCAAATGCGAGGTAGAATTGAATAATTAAACGAGACTTACCTGTAAGTTGAAGTTTGATTGAGATTCTACCGTAGCATTTGCAGAAATGAAGAGATCACATCCCTCCCTATTTCCCCCCCTGTATGCTAACCTTATCACAACTAGTCATTATTCCTATCATTCTCTGGTACTGTATACGTCAATTCATTATTCATGAATGGGGTAGTCTACAGGACTCCTCAAAAAATATGCTTTCAAGACTGAGCTCGAAGTCACGTGACTTGCTATCTCATGTGATCTCTTCATTTCTGCAAATGCTACGGTAGAATCTCAATCAAACTTCAACTTACAGGTAAGTCTCGTTTAATTATTCAATTTTCTCGAATCTCAAAGTAGAATTCTGTGACCTTTTTATTGAAGTTGTGACCCGGCTCGTTACTAAGTTACAGCCACTCATAATACGCGAGTAGGAAATGACGTCAATACTACTAAGTTTTAAGTTGTTTTCATCGATTAATCTGTTCAAAGGAATTCAACCGATGCGGGCTTCTTAACTATTCTATTCACTATGGACAGCTGAAGCATAGACAGATCTCATGAAGCAATCTTTACAACGTAATATTCTTTTATAGCCCTTAACCAAGGGTTTCACACAACTGATGAAGGATGATTCCTTGGTTAATCTCAGGACAACAAAGCAATTCGGGACATTATCAAGTACTACGATTATTGATATGCGTTAGAACCTTAACAGAAATCAAAAACAGGCAACAACCAACTCAGAACAGAAGTAGGAGGAACAAAGACGACACGGAGAGGAAAGAAATTCGATGTTATATGAACCAGAGTTTCTGACTACTGCAAAGTTTCGTGGGTTCTGTTTTCAACTGACAACAGGGAGTTTTAGCAAATCACGACGGCGATGCCAACGATAACGTCACCAAAAAATTGTTTAATGATTTTATACACGTGGGCGTTTGGAATCTTGGTACATTTCTTAGCCGTCCTCTGCAAGACAACAACGTGAAATGACCACGTTCTACGTATTTTGGAGAACGTGAACACCAGTGGCTAATTTTCCGTATCTTCCTTTGGAATTGAACGCTGTCACTGCATATTTAGCCCGAGCAAATGAGGCGCTTTGAACAGCGCACTGAACAGCGCACTCAACAGATCTAAACAGTTGAGACATTCGAAGGCAAAATATTAATCCATTTTTTACAAGACGTCGACCCCGGCGTCGCCGTAGTCATGGCTAAAACTCCTTAACAATAACCGAGATGGCGACGGCTGGAAGACAAGGTGACCACAAAGAGAATTCATTATGCATCGTTCATTGTAAGTTTGCAGGGGAGCACGAACGCTACGAAACAAGATCAGGAACACCCCTCTCCCCCCCGTGGTTATGTTTTTAAACCTTGACGTAAACGACGTAGAAGATTAAGACAGAGTAAGCCAGAGTCGGAGAAGACGAAACGTGGTTTTCAGGTTAAGAAAGCTAAAAAGCAGGTACAGGAGCATTCTGAATAACATACACCTGATTGACTGTACTTCGTGGGCCCCGAAAGAGTTTCTTTTACCACTGCTTGAGTTGTGGACACCTTCGGTTTAGTTCGTTCATGTTGGGTTGTTGGCGAATTTCAGGGAAGCAGGCAAGTTATGGAAAATTTAAACCAAAAGCAGCAGCTTCCAACTCTGCAGGAAAGATTCGAGGTGAGTGGGTATGATTTTGTGCAGTGGCTCATATTTCGTGCATTACCTCGAAGGCCATGAAATGTTTCGTTGCCATATAAATATTTTCCGACCAAACTCAATTTGTTACTTTGCCGCGGGGCATTTCCAATATTTACGCTGCAATAGATATCAACTGCTTTGACTCATGGCTGCAACACTGCTAATAATATACGAATTCCTTTTCTGTGTTATGCACCAGTTCACGGTCAGTCAAGAAACTACCGTCAAAGTTCATCAGGCACTTTGCGAACTAATAAGTTCATTAGCGAACTACTTCAGGATGCCTCATCAAGAAGCATTAGAATCACAGGCTGCAAGGTACATATTTAGTTGTAAGTCACCGTTGTAAGTCATCTTCATGATATATATACATTTTGTATTTACGTTTTTGACAATATATATACATTTGAGTTAAGCAAGTGTGCAGAAGAAATTAAATATACATAGATATATTTTTTTAGACTCATTCAGGAAGACGAAGATAGTTGGAGAACTTTAAACTTGGTATGTGTGTGTTTTATGCCAATAAGTGTACATTACGCCAATAAGAGTAGAATACATTTGCCAGCCACAACCATCAAAATGTTGTTCAATGCCATTGCTGTTCACTTTTCATTGATTTAAATACTGTAACCAGAGGCGATCACAACTGGCAAGGGAGATATTTCCCTTGTACAGACAAAATTCTCCCGGGTGTCTTATAAGGTGCTGTTACAAATTATGGCTCAGAAGAGCAGCAGAACTCTTTGACTCAAGTTTGGTTGTCTTATGACAATATTGCTCTGGTTATGACCCATATTTAACAAAATGAAGTACATGAAAGAGAAGGAAAAAATAATTAGCACTGTTAAGGAAAAGCAAGAACACCTGACAACAGTTCTACACGTGAAGGGCTCACAGCTTGTCGGTGAAGCCTCACGTGGTGGATAGTACAAGAAATGAAGAGTTAAAGGATTGCTTAATCTAACAAACGTATAATGGACCATCCGAAAGCAGTACGCACCCGCCCTGCCCATCAGATCGTTTTTGTTGGTGCTTAGTGATTTTTCCTAGTAGTAGCAGCTCTATTATGCTAATGGTCTCCCTTCATAAGTCCAAGGGCGGAGAAAAATATGAAACCTTACCAGAGGTGACTGCAAAAGGCATTTCTAAAATACGTCGTTACTCTTTAATTTACCACCACCAGGACAATATTCAGAATTTATGTACTGTTAGCCATCTGGCACACAAATCAACCTGCTATGTGAAACATTGTTTTAAGTTGAAAACTTCAAGATTTAACAAGCTTTCTTTGTGAGATTGCAGGAAAATCCAGGAAAAGAAGAGTACAAGGCAATCAAGAAAATTCTCAAAACGCAAACAGAATTACTGCAGGTTGGTAATCAGGAACAACTGTTATCCTCAACATTTATCATGAATGCCAGAACAGCTACTAATTCAAACAATTTTGTGTTGTACTTTTTTGCTACAGCAAGACTATAATCAAGGAAGAGACGCTTCAAGACAACTTCTCATGGCCCTTTTACGTTCCCTATGGAAATATTTTTTGTTTAATTTTCAAGGGACCCCAGCACTGACACCAAGCTTCACAAGGTGATTAACTATATTTTATCATAATCTGAAAACCTATAGTCTTGAGTAATAATTTCAGAAGTGTCTCAACGTAACCTTTAGCAAAAGACTACCTGTGTCAAACAGTTCGCTATATAATAGTAATCTTTTCATTAAAGCAATGATTTTACACTTTGCAAGCCAGGCGTAACTGTGAATAATAGTGAAACCTGGATATTCCTGTCCTACCATAATTCAAGATGCTGACTACAATCACAATCACAATCACAATCACCTGCTAATCACTTGCTAAGTCTGACATTGCACTTATATCCAAGTGATATGTAGGTTTACGTGTTTGTGAATACACACACACACTTTAAAGCTTAAGGCAGCTAGAGCAGCTGGTGTGGACCCGCTATTATCAAAACAAAAAAAAGGTTAAATATATATATATATATATACAGGTTTGCAACAACAAAACTCACAAGATCACAAGAATTCCACGGAAAAAACGGTGACTAAAATAAGATTACGAAAAACAAATTAAAAATATACATATATATATTGATCATAAAATTCAACAATATATAAAATGCTGGAGATCCTCGTTGTTATTTGTGCATGTCCCTTTAACTTAAAAAAAATTCTGTAATGCTAAAAATATAAACGAAAAATATATATATATTTCTAAGCCTGCCAAGTAAGCTTCATGTTAGAATTTGAAGCCCTGAATCAAATTGTACATCATTTTAAGGAAACCAATAATTCCCCTTGAAACTACCTAGGTAATAAAATTTGGATGGCTTTATCTTCCTTTTTCTGCAGCCTTAACAGTCACAGAGAATGGGAGAAATTTCACCAAGCAATTCTACGGCTGTCTACCAATTTGCAACGAAATATTCTCGAAACTGCACTAAAGCAAGATATGAAGATGATAACATATCACCTGAAGGAGTCAACAGCTGTATGGAAAACACAGGACTCACAATCCACAAGGTAATGATCTAAGGTGGATGAATAATTGTCCTATGAAACGGTGGGAAGTGTTGGCACCTTTTCTGCAAAATGATGACAATACAGTAGTTTCATTCTTAATATTATAGCAATGATCACAAAATAACGCTGTAAAAAATTTCTGCAAATAAACAAAATATCAGACCTTTTAAATGTATGTAACTTGAAAAAGTGGTTGCTTTTAATGATTTCTCTTTAACTGTAATAGGGAACATTTCCGTGTATCAAAACTTGGCCAAGTTACTCGGCATTTCCATGAAAACAATGTTTTGACAGGATATTCTGCTAAAATGTTGGTTTAAAGCAAAAAGCGGATAAATTGATCGCAGGTTTGACTGAATGAGTGAAAATACAACTCCCCTAGGTTTTATGTAAATAAATACACTAACAAACTCTCTCATTCTAACTAATGAGCAATAAGTATTTTAAAATAGTCCAGGCACTGTTAGTGGTAAGTGAGCCACACATTGTTCAACACTGTTCAGTTAAACTATGTACTTTAGGCGGCTTTCTGAGTATCAAAAGTAACTTTGTAGATGCGATTAAATTCGTGTTCTACATCATATCGTGTTGTGTCTACATCATACTGTTTTTAATATGAATTTTTCCTGTTTCTGCAGACACGCTGAGGACCAAGAATTAGATATAATTGATGCACATCCGGTAAGTACATTTTTAATGATTTATATGATTTATAAAGTCATTGCTACACTTAATATATTAAATCAATGATGTCAATAAAATATATTTTATGTAATAATGATAGTGAATAATGACGAAAAAACAAGATGCTTCTAGATGGTTAACACGCCAGATAAAATTAATTAAAATTTCTGAAACTCATGTTAGGACAAAACGAACGTACTTTTTAGAAAATAATAAAGTGAGCTCTAATGTACAATAAATCAAGCAATATTTTGTTTTCTCCTCAGGTACTGTGATGTTTTGTACATTGGATCTTGCTCGCATATTACATCACTTTGGCATGTTTTGAGGCTGCTTATGTTATTTTTCACTAATGGTATCAAACTGATTGTTTGTCACTGCTTGAAATACGTTTTCATGTGACTAGTTCATTTCATAGCTTATGTGGAATTCCTATCTGTGTCTGAAACATTTCACATACCAAAGTACCTTTTAGTAGAACTACAACTCTTTTAAGGTGCAACAACAAGTGCCCACAAAAGTGCCTCAAGCCCTTTAAACAAACACTATCCCAGTGCTTATTGGTCCCCCGCTGATATTGTGTCCATACAGAAAATCGTTTTTACTGTATTTCCAGAAGGGGATGTAGCACAAATCCAGAGGATTAATATTTAATTGTTATATTTAATTGTATATTATATGTAAATGTGTATGGAAAGGTAATGCAAATTAACGTTTTCTTAACTGAGATGATGTAACACAACCTTTTTTATTTTGTAGCTTTTAAGTTACAACTTGGAGGCCAAAAAGATTAAATTTAGGGCACATTTGACTATCTTTCCCGTTCTCATGATAACTTTGATATCATCCAGATCTGATGCTCTTCAATGACAAATGCTTTGTAGTTTTTCCCTACACATTCTTTCCCAGCACCATTGATGTATCTCTGATAGAATGCAAAGGAGAGGAAGGCCTAAAGTACTGATAACCACTTTAAGCTGCAAGTGATGTGTAAGAAAGGTAAATTTTTCACTAGCCAGAACGTCAAAAGAGCTTTAGTCGTTTATATTCAAATTATGAAGGTAAACATATTTTTTTAAATTCTTTGGTAAACTCAAGTTTTAAAGATATAAACAGCCTTCAAATGTACACTAATTGTTGACTGAATAATTGATGTAATGGTTTTTCTTAACCCTGCATCTGTTTGACTCATTTACAATATAGATTTATAACAAGAGAGAAATGTATGTTTAGTTTTTCATTAATAAAAACATTAAATTGCTTTGACTCCAAATTGTTACAAGTATTTCTCATTTTAAGGTGATTCCTCAGAAATAAAAGTTGTCGAACAACTTCTTAGAAACTTTCCCTGAATGTTTCCTTCCAAGCACTGTATCAAAAATACAACAAATCAAAGTGCACCATGAGCAAAACTCGTGAATACAAATGGTGAATGAAGTTATGTCAAGAGCTCCTGACTATACTCCTGATTATGTGCATAATTTTGACTTTGATTTGCATGCTAGTAGTTGCTTGCCAAAGTACCAAATAGACTTTTGGATAAGAATGCATGACAATTGAAATGAATCTGTATTTGCATCGTTATAAGGCCATGGAACTTGATTCCGTAGGTGAAGTAACCCACCCAGCGTGGTCAAAAACTAGCCTGCGTTTACATGCAATCTTATAAGCCCCGCCATTTTGGAGTGAATTTTCTCTAGGGGACGTAATACATCAGTTAATTCCAGCCGTGTTCTTTCCAGCCCTTCCAGGCAGTAAAAAGCTAGGTTTTGCTCACGTTAGGCCAATTCAAATTTTATTATCAGCCCAGAGCGGGCATTTGAATACCCCAAAGACAGCCCCAGAACATTTGGCACCCTTGTGGTTTTGGTCTCGCATGTACATGATGTTGTCCAAGAGAGTATGATCTTCCTCACTTGTGTTCTGTAATTTATTCATCTCCTGTTGGTCACATATGGATCATATAGAATTTGCTCTATATTGTCTATGTGATGGATGGAGTCAAAGGCTATCTGAGATGAGCCGGTTCATTACCAGCTTATGTTCGTATTGCGTTTAATATTCTGATAATGCATACAAACATGAGGTAAGCTATCTTTATTTAAATTCGTTAGAGACTGGTCAAAAAGTACAGGTGGTGGGGGGGNGGCCGGAGCATTTGAAAATGTGTTGGATAAAAAACACGTGACCCACCCCTTCCATTTGGCACAAAACTGAGTGACCCACCCCTAAATGAAGATTGAAAGTCACATGAATCCCCCCCCTGTAAAACATGATATTTTTGGTTGCATAATCCAACAAAATCATATTTTGTGTATGACGTTGTGGTATTATTTATGTTTTAGATTTATTTCTTAACCGTAATACAAAATCATCTAAATATAATATTGTTTTTCTTTACTCTTACAACTTTAAGTCATGCTCGTAAACTTTAAAAAAATGACTGTGAACTTTTCACACTTGGCCTCCAGCTTCGTTACGCATGGAACAGTGATCCATCTACAAAAGGACTGTAGTGGGTCTTGGGACCCAAACAGCCAGCAAAGTACGAGTTCCAGGCCCAAGAGTGTGAGTCCCAGATCCATGAACATGTGTCCTGCACCCTTGGGGACAAATAGCATGTAGACCCAAGTTGGCCACTTGGTGTTCGTGGAGACCAGCTGGTCGACAGAGCGCAGTATTTTGAAAATTTCTGCCCTGGGACTCCTTGCTCAATCTGTTAGACTTCTAAGCTTTCGTGCAGATTTTACAATACATGAAATTGCCATCTCTATTGTACACCAGCCATGTGTACGTTTTCAGCCACGACTTGACCAATTTTCGCCCCGTTGTAACTGGAAGGAGTTTATACCTGTTGTCGATTGGGTCAAGTGTGTGCCAATTCCTGTTGTAAAACAGGATACCCACCCGTATGGGTAGCTGAAAATTGGAAGATCCACCCCCTTACAGGGGTTCAAAACTGATGACCCACCTCTTTTCTTCTCCGGCCCCCCACAACACTGTTTGACCAGTCCCTTACCACACGTAGAATTTAGAGTCATTTTTCGAAGCAGTCTTATACACTGCCTTATAACCAGCTAACATCGTAACGCAATCGCTCACAGCATAATGTCACGTAAGTCGTATACAACGTCTTGACCGCCTGTGATTTTTTCTGGCTCTGAATATACAAAGGATAATAATAATGTGCATGTCGGTTGATGCATGTTGATTTGGCCAAGCCTAAAAGCGGAGCCCCCGTAAAATACTAAGCATTTACGCGAACCAATAACGTTTATGAAATTCACCAACAAGTATTTCACCGTACCAAATTACTTGAACAAACAAAACGAGGAAATATGAAGACATATAAATTGATTATCGCAGTTATACACACAACTTAAGCAGTTGTGAAATTAAAGCCTGAACAAAATTCAGGCCTGAAAGGGATTCGAACCCATGACCTCTGCGATACCGGAGCAGTGCTCTACCAACTGAGCTATCAAGCCAACTGGGAGCTTATCATGTTGTGAGCTCGTGATATACCCGTAGATGGTGAAGAATGCAAGTGAATATATGAAAGATCATATATTTGAACTGCGGAGAAAGATATGAAGACATGGCTGATCATCGCAGTTATATACACAACTTAAGCAGTTGCGAAATTAAAGCCTGAAAACAATTCAGGCCTGAACGGGATTCGAACCCATGACCTCTGCGATACCGGTGCAGTTGTCTACCAACCGAGCTATCAAGCCAACAGGGAGCTGATCATGTTGTGTGTTCGTGATATA